ACTGTGTAACATTTTCTATTTGCCTTTGAAACCTGTTATTGTTACTTTAGTCAAATAGATGCTTAAGGATTATTTCGTAATGATCTGTGATATTTGGTCAACTGTCCAAATCTCTTAATATTTTTGACAAACTTCCCCAAATATTCAAATCCTAAATGATGTTTTTTCAACCTGGATGTAACTTTGGGATTTTCCAGAGAGGACCTGGGACATCTCAAAAGATTTATTAGCTCTTCTTATAAAAAGAGAAATATTACACTAATTAGTCTTATTTGGTATGTGAAATTACATGAGCAGCATGATCGAATAAGCAATAATAAACCTTTTAGGTTATATTGTATGGGTGAGTGTTACTAGCAAGTGTTTTAGAAATTGTATAAAATTTTTAAAAATATGATATAGCCTAATATAATGTTATTACCTGTAATTCTAATTACTATTAAAATATATGTTGCAAAAATACCCAAATTTTCTTGTCAATTGTATTTACCCGTCGCCTTTTCTAAAAACAGTCTTTTGTCAGTTACAGACAGCTGTTGTTTTACTGTGATGCTTTTACACGTTTCATTTTCAAAAAGATTCATTAAAGTGACTCTGACAAGTACTCTGGAATATAGGTTTTGGTAGCTTTAAGATCATAACACTGAGCTGGGTGGGAATTTCTGGAACTTAAGCGGAGGACTGATTGCTCTAATGTTTTGTTTTCCAAATGTCAAGGACCCGTTTTTCTCCTCTCCTTTAAGCTCTCTATGATTTACAGCAATTTGGTAAAGTGTATCTTTGCAAGAAGGGTTGAAACATTTATCTTTTTCTCTCTGCCTGATCCCCTCAGGATTTGGTAACTCATAAGTATTCTTTTCATGACAGTGTATGTATTTGCATGCGTTCACTGAAGGTCTGTTCTCCTTGTAATAGGACGCAGTTGGAAATATTGGCTGGATTATTCTAGATAAGCCTTTATCTAAAATGTCATATTCAAGAAAGATGTACATAGACTAAAAAATGACCAGACAGCTTTTAGGGACTGCTTTGAAAAATCAGCCTAGTACCTTGCTTACAAGGTCCAGCAAAGCAATCTTGAAAAAGCTTATATGATCAATCACTAGTCTTGCTACATTTATATAAATAATCAGGCCAAGCCTAATACAAACAAATTAGTTTTACTATGATTATCTTTATTTTTTAGAATGGAGGTTATTGTGGAGAGAGAAATTATGCTCACACCTTTGTAGGTATTAGATTCTAGCCCTATTGTCTTTAAGGTGTTGTTATAGCTGTAAGCTGGGCTGGACCCTAAATTCTTCTAGTGTCCTTAAATGTCTGGCTGTGATACTCCAAACTGACATTTCCACTTTTAGTGCCCTTGAAGTCTCCTTGGGAGGGACTACACCAGGCCCTCCTCTCTACCCAGATGCAGCCAAACTTCAGGGACTCGAGCCTTGGGTGCACATCTCACAGCTGAAGAAGGCTCACCTGACATCTGGTCCTGAACAAACACTGGGGACCTCAAATCAAACTGACCAGGAAGAGAAGCAGCCGACGTCTGAGGCAGACAGCTTTCCCAGGACGAGTGGACCAGGCCTAAATACCCTTTTCCACTGTTGTTTCTTTATTTTCTCCCTCTCTTTTGTGGAAGAACAATGCCCTTGCTGACGTTTCCCAATCCCTTCCAAACAGGGGAACCTCTCTGATTGCTGGATTTGCCATCAGAAACCTCAGTGTGTCTTAAGACAGTAATGACCCTTAGTTCGCCCTATAAGTAATTTCACTGTGATTCCAGATGCTGTTGATTGTCTAAATTGCTTTGCTGGCCCATTTTACTGACTCGGGGTGGTAAGGCCATCTAAACTCATTTATTGCTTTAATTTAACCTAGCCTTGGGAGGAGAAAACAGGATCTTCTGAATATTTGTATGAAAAATTCTGTGCGGCCACCAGTGTAACCCAGGCCATCTGTAAATTTCTTGATATACCCAGGCAACCTCTCAGCATGTAACAAAATAGTATCTGAGCCTTGTTACACGAGGCTAACGCCTCTATGCTGATGAACGAGTCTACAGATGATGTCACTGATGTGGGAGCCTTGTGTGCACCCCCTGATTACCTCTTCATCTGTGGAGGTTTCAGTAATGGCCTTTATGCCTGGGCAACTCATTGCCTTGACAGCTGGGGAACAGAAGGACAGCATGCCCTTGCTGTATCCACTGTCCTGTGTTCGCTGCATGAGCAAACAGAGACCTCTCATTGTCTCTCCCATTGAATCTGCTCTCCTATATTGAGTGCATATTTACAAATGTTATATCCTTTTGTTGGATTGACCCCTTTATCGTTATGCAATGCCCTTATTTGTCTATGACAGTCTTTGTTTTAAAGTCTGTTTTGTCTGATATAAGCATAGCTACCTCAGCTTTCTTTTGCTTTCCATTTGCATGGAATAGCTTTTTCCATCCATTCACTTTCAGTTTGTATGTGTCCTTATGTCTGAAGTGAGTCTCTTGTAGGCAGCATATAGATGGGTCTTGTTTTTTTAAACGTTCAGCCACTCTATGTCTTTTGATTGGAGTATTTAGTCCATTTACATTTAAAGTAATTGTCAATAGGTATGTACTTATTGCCATTTTGTTAATTAATTGTTTTCTGGCTGTTTTGTAGTTCCTCTGATCCTTTCTTCTTCCCTTACTCTCTTCCTTTGTGGCTTGATGTCTTTCTTTAGTGGTATGCTTACATTCCATGCTCATTATTTTTTTGTGTGTCTACTATAGGTTTTTGATATATATGTATCAGATATAGGGTTATATATATATAGGGTATATATATAGGATATAGGGTATCTTGAGGTTTACATATAACAAGTTCTATTTATAACAATGTATTTTAAATTGATAACAACTTGAGTTTGAATACCTTCTAAAGCTCTGCATTTTTCCTCTCCTCCCTCCACATTTTATATTTTTGATGTCACGTTTTACATCTTTTTATTTTGTGGATCCCTTGACTAGTTATTGTAGTTTTCGTTATTTTTACTACGTTTGTCTTTTAACCTTCATTCCAATTGCTGTAGCACTATTTGTTGAAAACACTATTTTTCTTTATGGAATTGCTTTTGCACCTTTATCAAAAATCAGTTGATTAGAATTGTATGGATCTATTTCTGGGTTCTCTGTTCTGTTCCACTGATCTATGTGTCTACCCCTTCACCAGTAACATACAGTCTTGATTACTGTAGCTATATAATCAGAGTCAGGTAGAGTCATTCCTTCCACATTATTCTTCTTTTTCAAAATTGTCTTAGCTAGTCTAGTTCCTTTGCCTTTTCATTTAAATTTTACAATAAGCTGTCTATATCTACAAAACGTCTTGCTAGAATGTAGACAGGAATGGTGCAACCTTATGTATCATTTTAGAGAGAACGGATATGGCTACGTTAAAATCTTCCAATCCATGAATATGGTGTAGATCTTTGATTTCTTTCAGCCATGTTCTGTAGTTTTCAGCATACAAGTCCTGCACGTGTTTTGGTAGATTTATATCAAAGTATTTTATTTTATGAGTGATTTTAAATGGTACTGTATTTTTCATTTCAGTTTCCAAGTGTTCATTGCTTGTATATAGAAATACAATTGATTTTTCTATGTTGGTCCTGCAGCCTTGCTAAGGTCACTTATAGGTTTTAGGAGGTTTTTTGGTTTGTTCATTTGTTTTTGGTAAATTCCTTGGGATTTTCTACATAGACCATCATGTCATCTGCAAATAGAGTTTAATTTCTTCCTTTCCAATCTGTATGTCTTTATTTTCTTAATGTGCTGGCTAGGACTTGTAGAACTATTTTGTATATGAGTAGTGACATCCTTGCCTTGTTTCTGATCTTTGGTGGAAGACATTCTTAGTCTTTCCCCATTACATATGATGTTAAATGTAGGTATTTCTGTAGATGTCCAGTATCAATTTGAGGAAGTTCCACTCTATTCCTAATTTGCTGAGAGTTTCCTAATTTCCTGGCTCACATAATTCACAGAAATCAATTCCAGGTAGATTAAAAACCTATTTGAAATAATTACAGACTCACGATAAATTGCAAAAATAATATAGAGAGGTTCCATGTACCCAATACCCAGTTTCCCCCACTGGTGACATCTGAGATAACTAAAGTGAATTGTTGATAGTACAATTAACTAGACCACAATTATCTGGTTTTACTCAGACTTCACCAGAAAAATCTATTTTTGAAAAGCAAAATTATAAAGGTTATAGATCATAATGCAGGAGAACAGATTCATGACTTCAGAATAAAGAAAGATTTCTTGAACAAGACAGAAGGACAGAGAATAAAGGAGAAGGATGATAGATTTGGCTACCTTAAAATTATTAACTTCTGTTCATCCAAAGACACCATAAAAATTGTGAAAAGACAAGCCACAAACTGAGAAAAAATTATTTGCAACGTGTGGAGCTAGTATCCTGAATATATAAAAATGCCTGTGGATCAATAAGAAAACAATAAAAACATCCCAGTGGAAGGATGGGCAAAAGAATTGAACAGGTACTTCACAAAAGAGGAGAGCCTGTGACCAAACATGCAGACCTGCCAGCAGGATGTGTGGGCTATGTGTAGACGTCACCTGGTTCAATGAGGTGTGGGAACAGTGTGAGCCACACATGTCTGGGGGTGGGCGCACACAGCAGGCTGTGTTTAGAGACTCTGCCTGGCTGGTGCTGCCAGCATGTGAAGTGTGAGTGCAGGGCAGGGGCTGGGGAGGGGGCAGCAGGACACAAGCAGGACAAGGCTGGTTGCAGCGTTTTCACTGCCAACCTTCCTTCCAAGGGCCCTTGTTTTGAAAGGTTTATTTACTATTTGGCGTTTATTAGTAATACATTCCTTTTGTTTGTGTGTTTTTAAACAAGCAAAAAAAAAAAAAGCTCTGCCAGACAGAGCAAAGCCACATAGTGTCCCCGAGCCGGCAGAGCAGTGGTAAGGCCCTGCCCTGTGGCCTCCTCTTGCAGAATCACTGAGTCTGAGCACGGGAGGTACAAGGTGCTCTACAGCTCCCAGCTGCTGTTCCGACGCCGCCTCTACGCAGACCTGGAGACCGTCCTGTACCACGTGCACCTCTTCAAGCCGCTGTCGCTGCTCATGAAGCAGGCGTCACTCTACATCCGCAACACCGTGCCGCAGACGGCCTTCCAGGCCCTGACCAGGTGTGGTCCCCGGGCCTGCTGCGGGGAGGGGAGTGGGCTGCCTGCCCTCGTGGCGGCCATGGGGGGTGGCACAGTGGCCCTTTGAGGTGCGCTTTTTATTATTCCTTATGCCCGAAGAGCCCGGGTCAGGAGTGAAGGCCGGTGCCGAGGGGCCCCGAGTCCGTGTCATTCCCACTGTTCCACATGCTCTCCCATGACAGTTGCAGAAACATACCGGTGAAAGGACAGTTTTACTCAAGCACATGTCACATGAATCTGTCTGCTCCTCTTGGGAATATCCCAGAAGAGGCTGAGGAGTGAGGCACCAGTTAGAACCCATTTTCCCAGTGAGCCATGGGGACACAATGAGGACTGGGACCACCAGATCCACCAGGCCAACAACAGCTTTCTCTCCCAACCAAATGTTACTTTTCTGTGTGCCTCCCACCTAGTCCCCTATTCCACCCTCCCTCCCTCTTCCTCAGAAAGCCGTTCTCCAAAGATCTGGATCTTTCTCTTCCTACACACCTTCACCTGTGCTGTTCCTTCTGCTCCAACGCTGGTGACCTGCCAGGCTGGTCACCCACCCTGGGAAGCTGGGTGGAGCGCTGCTCATGCTTGCCCGAGGGTCTCCTCCAGTGCGTATGGAACAGCCACTGCCCTGTGCCTGCTCTGGGAGGAGGGCCGAGAGAGGCAGACCCAGTTTAGAAGCGGAGGCTGACAAAGAATAGCGCAGTGGGGTGCCCCGGGACCGTGGGCAGTCGGTGCCGCGCTCAGTGCAGCAGTGAAGGACAGTGACTGGTACTTTGAGGAGGTGAGCAAAGGCTGACCTGGAGAAGGAAGGAGCAGACATTCATCAGGTGGACAGTTCACTCACTGCCGGTCTGGGGCAGGAGGTGCAGACCACCTCTACACTTGTAGAGCCAGCAACAGGTGCGGCCAAGAGCTGCTCCCCGCGTCGCCCCCCACACACCAGCACATCCTTGTTGAATGTACTAGTAGAGGAGAGGGGGAGGCAGGAGAGGGAGGGAGCAGGCTGGGGACACGGGAAGGAGAACTCAGGGCTGAGAACCTCTCCTTTTAGTCCCACCCTCTGGCAGCAGCTGTGCCCAAAGAACCGGGCAGGTGTAGATTGGGCAACCCCCAAACAGTGCCCAAAGCTGCAAGTCAGGACAGGGCACAGCAGGAGGCTCGTGCTGGGGAGGCGCTGGAGCATTTGGGTGTCCAGATCCTCAGTGGTGAGTCGAGGAGGCTGGACCCTGTCCTGCCTGGTGAGTGACAGGAAGTAGCTGGGGACCTCTCTTAGGGAAAGGGAAGAAAACAGCTATTTATGAAGTGCTCACTGCATCCTAGGTAGCTACATCCATCATGGCTTTATTCCTTTCTGGAAGGTCAGGAAACAGAAGCTCACAAAGGCCAAGTGGTGGGGCAGGGAGCTCAGCTAGGGAGAGGCGGAGCGCACCAACCTCAGGCATCACCTCACCTGGACCTTGGAAACAGCTGAGACAGCAAGCTGCAAACAATGGTTCCCATAGTATTGTCGAGAGCGTCAGAGTGACTCAAGTGCCCGCGGCTGGGCCTTAGGAGACGGCAATGAGAAGGAGTCCTGGGGCCCTTGAGCTTTGCTAAGATAAGAGGCTATGTGCTAGTGCCACCTCCTGGGGCAGGAGGCTCTGAGATTAACACCGCTGACAGCCAGCTTGTTGGGGCTGCTCCCTGGTGGGGCATGGGTAGGTGAGAGGCATGGAATAAGGCCACAGTTACAGGAAAATGATTAGAGCAGAAAGTGGGAAGCTTTTAATTCTAGGGGCTGGGTGGAGAGAGGGAAGGAGGCATTCTCCTTTGTAGGCTCATTGGACTGGAATCAGAGCTCCTCATGTAGGACCTGGGACCAGCTAATCAACCTCTCGGGGTTTCCATTTCCTCTTGTAAAATGGGGGTGGTTTGACCTACCTTGCAAGGCAGGTGGGGCTGAGCAGCCGGCCATTCTGTGTTCCAGGATCCACTGCATCTGCTTTTACAGCACCAGGCTCAGGGAGGTGATCGCAAGAGACCTGCTGCCCTCCTCCGCCATGATCAAAGACTTGAGCCAAGAGTTTGGGTTGCCCCTTTCACAAGAAGATCTCAGAGATGGGAAACTGTTCGCTGTGCCACCTCAGCCTGCCCCCAATCTCGAGGACTTACGAAGTCGGAATTCCACCTTCACTGATGAGATCCATGCCCACCAGGAGAAGTACCTGCAGTGGCGGAATGCCATGATGCTGAAGAAAAGCCAGGAGCACAGCCTGATCCAGGTGGGCAGTCTCTCTCCCTGGGTCGGGGGTCCCAGGCCTTTACCCCACCTGGGCTGCCCAGTCACCTGCCAGGAGATACAGGGCAGATGGCCAATTCCTGAGCCGGGCATCTGCCTCCGGCCGTTATCTGCTCTCACTCCCAGCCCCGGTGTACCTCGTCCTTCCTGAAAGGTGAAAAAGAACGCTCTTAGGTTTATCACCTTTACCTTGGCCACAGAGTTCATCTTAGAGAAAGAACTGTTGCGTGTGTGTGTGTATATGTGTAACATCTTGCTTAAGCTGCTAAGGGCATGGATATTGAGATGCCCAAGCAACACTGGCGATGAACTAATCTGCATGAGAAAATGGGAGTAGAAAGGAAGGGAAGAGGAGATTGCGGAGCTGGTGAGGTGACAGAGGGCTGGGTGCTATGTGCCCTGGGCCAAGGAGCCCCTCAGCCCATACCACCCAAAAAGACTTAAAAACACTGACATCCACGGCATGACTTGTAGTCGTTCGCCCGTGGTCCATCTGGGTGAAGCCCCTCCCTCAACCCTAATCTCTAGTAGAAAGTGTCTCACAAGTTTGTAAGCTTTCTATGTGTACACACTGTATGAAAACCAGTGAGGAGGCTGCCATTAGTATTCAAGTTTTTAGTTTTTTCAAAAGAACAGGTTCTTGGATTTATTTATAAATCTGCTTTTTCTGTTTTTCTAATTCATTAACTTCAGCTTTTATTTTTTATGATATTTTAAAACATGTTTTTCTCCTTTCTAGCTTGTTGAGTTGGCGATTTCATTTATTTTTATTCTTTAAATTTTTTTCCCAGTTTTATTGAGATATAATTGACATATATCACTGTACAAGTTTAACGTGTACAGCATAATGGTTTGACTTACATATGTTGTGAAACGATTACCACAATTAGTTTAGTTAGCATCCGTCATCTCATATAGATACAAGAAAAAGAAAAAGGAAAAAATACTTTCCTTATAAAAACTCTTAGGGTTTACTCTCTTAACAACTTTTCTATACATCACACAGCAGTGTTAACTATGGGCCTCATACATCACATCCCCAGGACTTATTGATCTTATAACTGGAAGTTTGTGCCTTTTGACTACCTTCCTCCAGTCTCCATTCCTCCACCCCTGGCCTCTGGTAACCATAAATCTGATCTCTTTTTCTGAGATTAGGGTTTGTTTGTTTGTTTTCAGATTCCACATATACACAGTATTTGTCTTTCTCTGTCTGACTTGTCTCACTCAGCGTAATGCCCTCAAGGTTCATCCATGGTGTCGCAAATGGCAGAATTTCCCCCTTTTTTTATGGCTGACTCATACAGGCATACCTCGGAGATATTGTGGGTTCAGTCCCAGGTCCCCACAATAAAGCAAATATCCCAATACAGTGGGCACGTGGATTTTTTGGTTTCCCAGTGCATATAAAAGTTATGTTTACACTATATAGTAGTCTATTGAGTGTGTTATAGCATTGTGTCTAAAATAACAACGTACACACCCTAATTAAAAAATGCTTTATTGCTAAAAAATGCTAACCATCATCTGAGCCTTCAATGAGTCATAATCTTTTTGCTGGTGGAGGGTCTTGTAGAAAACACAGTATCTGTGAAGCACAATAAAGAGAAGTGCAATAAAATGAGGTAAGCCTGTGTTCCATTGTGTATGTTCATGTTATATATGTGCACACACCACATTTCTTTATCCACTCATTGATTGATGGACAAGTAGGTTGTTCCCATGTCCTGGCTATTGTGAATAACGCTGCCGTGAACCTGGGGGTACTGATATCTTTTTGAGTTAGTAGTTTTGTTTCTTTTGGATATATTCCCAGAAGTGGAGTTGCTGGATCATATGGTATGTCTATTTTTAATTTTTTAAGAATCCTCTGTACTGTTTTCCATAGTGGCTATACCGATTTACATTCTCACCAACGGTGCACAAGGGGTTCCTTTTCTCCACATCCTTGCCAGCATTTGTTAACTCTTATCCTTTTGATGATGGCCATTCTAAAAGGAATGAGGTGATGTCTCACTGTGGGTTTGATTTGTATTTCCCTAATGACTAGTGATGTTGAGCATCTTTACGTGTACCTCTTGGCCATTCATATATCTTCTTTGGAAAAATATCTATTCAGGTTTCTGCCCATTTTAAAATTGGATCATTTGGGATTTTTTGCTACTGAATTGTGTGAGTTCTTTATATATTTTGGATATTAACCCCTTATTAGATAAACAGTTTGCAATTTTTTTCCCCATTCTGTAGGCTGTCTTTTCACTTTGTTGATGTTTCTAAGAATTTTCCATTTCTTCTAGGTTGTCCAGTTTGTTGGTCTATAGTTTTGTTCATAAAACCCTCTTATGAGCCTTTGTATTTCTGCGACATGAGTTGTAATGTCTCCTTTTCATTTATACATCTTTTGATTTGGGTCCTCTTTTTTTTCCCTTGGTTAGTCTAGCTAAAAGTTTGTCAATTTTGTATATCTTTTCAAAGAACCAGCTCTTACTTTGGTTAATCTTTTCTATTGTTTTCCTGTTCTCTATATTTCATTTATTTCTGCTCTAATCTTTATTCTTTCCTTCCTTGACTAACTTTGGGCTCAGTTTGTTCTTTTTCTAGTTCCTTAAGGCGTAGAGTTAGGCATAGTTATTTATTTATGATCTTTCTTACTTCTTAATATAGGTGTTTATTGCTATGAACGTACCTCTTAGAGCTGCTTTTGCTGTGTCCCGTAAGTTTTGGTGTCTTGTGTTTCCATTTTCATTTGTCTCAAGAGATTCTTTTTAATTTCCCTTTTAATTTCTTCTTTGATCCATTGGTTGTTCAGGAGGGTGTTAATTTCCATATGTTTACGAGTTTTCCAGTTTTCCTCCTGTTATTGATTTGTAGTTTTATAGCATTGTGGCCAGAAAAGGTACTTGTTATGATTTCAGTCTTTTTGAATTTGCTAAGACTTGTTCTGTGGCCTAACGTATGGTCTATCCTAGAAAATGTTCCATGTGCACTTGAAGAATATGCATTCTGCTGTTGTCAGACATAATATTCTGTATGTGTCTATTAGGTCCATTTGGTTTATAACGTTGTTCAAATCTACTCGTTCTTTATTGATTTTCTGTCTGGATGATTTATCCATTGTTGAGAGTGGGTATTAATGTCTCTAACTAGTATCGTATTGCTGTTTATTTCTCCTTTTAGCTCTGTTTTTGCTTTATGTATTTAGGTGCTCTGATGTCAGGTGCATAAATATTTATAATTGTGATTTTTCTTGTTTTTGGCTGAGGAAGATTCACCCTGAGCAAACGTCTGTTGCCAATATTCCTCTTTTTTTCCTTTTTTATGTGAGCCACCGCTACAGTGTGGCCACTAACAGACAAGTGGTACAGGTCTGCACCTGGGAATCAAACCCAGGCTGCCAAAGTGGAACACGCCAAACTTAACCACTAGGCCACCAGGCTGGCCCTCATTCTGTCTTCTTGATGTCTTGACCCTTTACCCTTATACAATGACCCTCTTTGTCCCCCTTTACCATTTTTCCTTTTATTTATTATTTTTTTTCTCCCTCACACAGTTCCCCTACCCCCATCCTCCACCTCTGGAAACCACCAATGAACTTGGTTTTTTCGTTTGTGTCTTTGTTTTTTACATTCCACATATAAGTGAGATCATACACTATTTATCTTTCTCTGTCTGACTGATTTCACTCAGCATAATGCCCTCAAGGTCCATCCATGTTGTTGCAAACGGCAAGATTTCATTCTTTTTTATGGCTGAATAGTATTCCATTGTATATATATGAACCATTTTTTCTTTATCCATTCATCCATTGATGGACATGTAGGTTATTTCCATAACTTAGCTATTGTAAATATGTTGCAATGAACACGTGGATGCATATATCTTTTTGAATTAGTGTTTTCATTTTCTTTGGGTAAATACCCAAAAGTGGAATTGCTGGATCATATGGTAGTTCTATTTTTAATTTTTTTCAAATCTTCCTTACTGTTTTCCGTAGTGGTTGTGCTGATTTACATTCCCACTAACAGCACACAAATGTTCCCTTTTCTCCACATTTGCCACCACTTGTTACTTCTTGTCTTTTTGATAATAGCCATTCTACCAGGTGTGAGGGGATATCTCATTGTGGTTTTGATTTGCATTTCCCTAATGACTAGTGATGGTGAGCATATTTTCATGTACCTGTTGGCCACTGTATGTCTTCTTTGGAATAATGTCTACTCATATCTTTTGCCCATATTTTAATTGGATTGTTTGTATTTTTGCCATTGAGTTATATGAGTTCTTTATATATTTTTTATATTAACCCCTTATCAGACAAATGATTTGCAAATATTTTCTCCCACTCAGTAGGTTGCCTTTTCATTATGTTGATGATTTCCTTTGCTGTGCAGAAGCTTTTTAGTTTAATGTAGTCCCACTTGTTTATTTTTGCTTTTGCTACCTTTGCTTTTGGTGTCAGATCCAAAAAATCATTGCCAAGATCGATGTCAAAGAGGCTACCACCTATGTTTTCTTCTAAGAGTTTTATGGTTTCAGGTCTTACATTCAAGTCCTTAATCCATTTTGAGTTAGCTTTTATTTACAGTCATAAGATAGTGGTCCAGTTTCATACTTCTGCGCGTGCCTGTCCCGTTTACCCAGCACCATTTATTGAAGAGACTGCCCTTTCCCCATTGTATATTCTTGGTTCCTTTGTCATAAATTAATTGACCAAATATGCATGAATTTATTTCTGAGCTCTCTATTCTGTTCCATTGTTCTATGTGTCTGTTTTTATGGCAATACCCTACTGTTTTGATTACGATAGCTTTGTAATATAGTTTGAAATCAGAGAGCACAATGCCTCCAGCTTTGTTCTTCTTTCTCAAGATTGCTTTGGCTATTCGGGGTCTTTTGTGATTTCATACAAATTTTATGATTGCTTGTTCTATTTTTGTGAAAAATGCCATTGGAATTTTGATAGCAATTGTATTGAATCAGTAG